ATATATACATATATATATACATATATATATATATATACATGTATATATATCATGTAACGGACACTTTCTTGACAATAAAGTAACACACATACACCACAGAACACGTAAAACAAAACTCCAAACTCGCGGAGAACATAGTTTGTAAAACGGGTGGACGCATAACACACAATGCTGTTCATGGGATATATACACATGGGATATATACAGTCATAATCCATACAACACAAACACAACAATGCGAATGAGCTTACGCCAATTACTTGCACAGAGTTACACTAAAACGAGTGGTTCAACTCTACAGAAATGCAGGGCATCTCCTCACACATCTGGACAGGACCAAGCACAGATAGATAAATACCTTCGTTCAATTGGAGGGATCTTACCATCGCCGCCGAATGGAGGGGTGTGCTGTGAGTGTAAAGGCAATAGAACAAGTGGAGCCATTTCAGCAGAGGTGATGAGTCTTAGGCTGAGTCTAGCTATAGTTGTAAGTGTGGATTAAGAGAGTATGTACGTCGAATTCGGAGGTACACGCGTGGCAAGGGCCCAGAAGCAATGCTGCGTAGGATTTGACACAATTATGTACACACACACACTACAGTGTTAAACGGAATGACTAGATACACTACACGCATACATACACGTCTGGTGTTGAACACAACCCTTGGTGATGACTAGAGCCAATTCATAAACACTTTCGTTGGTGATGCATAGACACATCCACAGTGACATACCACCCCATAAGATATACAGTACACTCTCATACGTTTCTCTCTTCCCCCCCCCAAACTCTAGACGTCACTAACACACATTTCATAGCCACTAACACACTCGAACACACTGTATAGCCACTAACACACTGCATAGCCAATAACACACGCAACACACACTCTAGACATCGCTAACACACACTGTGCGTTCTCCATTGCATACCTGCCCGTCCGTGAGACTGGGTGAGTGTATGCCAACCGGGGAGCTGTTGCGGCTGGTTTCTGTGTTGAAGACACCGTCATCCTTCGTGTTGGGTTTCTTGTGGTACAGCCATGTTTCTACATCTCCAAACTCGTTCATGCGTGTCTGCGTAAACGGTTTTTTTTTGCGTTGTAGGGTTTTTAGGTTTATAGTAAACGGGCCGCATGTTACCCACAGAGAGTCGACACAGCATCGGTATGTGCTATATTATATTGTCCTCTCAACATACCTCAAGTGTTGTTTAAGTATGTGCGTGTGTGCGTAAAATGTGAACAATGTATTCTTCGTGGAAGAGTGACATAGAACTAAACATACTAAGCTACACGTGTCGATATATGAAGTACCGTTTATACTCGTGTGGTTAGCGTATGCGGATAAATTCTTAGGCAGGAGGCGGTAGTACTAAGTTCAACATATGATGTCACATTTCAACACAGCCATCAAGAGATAATATATACATGCATACATACATATATACATACATATATACATACAAACATACATACACACATATATACATACATACATACACACATATATACATACATACATACCTACACACACACAC